TGCGTGGTATCATACAAGATGTGGCCTTCAAGACTATCACCAGCCCCTCAGTCTTTTTTTTTTTTGCTTGTTTTTTTAATTGATTATGCCATTACATTTGTTCTATTCGCCCCCTCCATTCCCCTTCACCCTGCACACCCCTCCCCCACCATTCCCCCCCTTTAGTTCATGAACATGTGTCTCAAGTTCTTTAGATTCTGTATTTCCCCTACTATTCTTACCCTCCCCCCACCTATTTTCTACCTACTGTCTATGCTACTTATTTTCTGTACCTTCTCCCCCCTTCTCCTTCTCTCACTCCCCTATTGCTAATCCTCCACGTGATCTTCATTTCTATGGTTCACTCCTGATCTAGCTGTCCTCTTAATTTGCTTTTGTTTTAGGTGTGGTTGTTGATAACTGTGAGTTTGCTGTCCTTTCACTGTTCATCTTTTTTTTTATCTTCTTTTTCTTAGGTAAGTCCCTTTAATATTTCATATAATAAGGGCTTGGTGATGATGAACTCCTTGAATTTGATCTTATCTGAGAAGCACTTTATCTGCCCTTCCATTCTAAATGAAAGCTTTGCTGGACAGAGCAATCTTGGATGTAGGTCTTTGGATTTCATGACTTGGAATACTTCTTTCAAGCCCCTTCTTGCCTGTAAGGTCTCTTTTGAGAAATCCACTGACAGTCTGATGGGAACTCCTTTGTAGGTGACAGTCCCCTTATCTCTTGCTGCTTCTAGGATTCTCTCCTTCATTTGAATCTTGGCTAATGTAATGATGATGTGCCTTGGTGTGTTCCTTCTTGGGTCCAACTTCTTTGGGACTCTCTGAGCTTCCTGGATTTCCTGGAAGTCTATTTCCTTTGCCAGACTGGGGAAGTTGTCCTTTATTATTTGTTCAGATAAGTTTTCCACTCGTGACTATTCCTCTTCCCCTTCTGCTGCCCCTATAATGCGAATGTTGGAACATTTAAAGATGTCCTGGAGGTTCCTAAGCCTCTCCTCATTTTTTTGAATTCTTGTTTCTTCATTCTTTTCTGTTTGGTCATTTTTTCCTTCCTTCTGGTCTACTCCCTTGATTTGAGTCCCAGTTTCCTTTCCATTACTATTGGTTTCCTGTGCATTACCATTCATTTCAATTAGTTTAACCTTCATATGTTCCTCTAATTTGTGACTAAAACCAACCAGTTCTGTGAGCATCCTGATCACCAGTGTTTTGAACTGTGCATCTGAAAGTTTGGCTATTTCTTCATCGCTTAGATTTATCAGCTCTGGGGCTCTGAGTTGTTCTTGAGCCAAGTTTTTATCTGTTTGTGTCTGCTACGTATGAGGAGTGGAGCCTTAGTTGTTTACCAGGGCGGGGCCACCCAGGTTGCTGGTTTGTAACACTGTATATGGGGGCGGAGTCAGAGAGGGAGCAATGGCGTCCTCTCCACTCACCCAGTCCGTCCCACCGCTTACCCCCGCCTGTTTATCTGAGCGGAAATGTGCAAGCCCACTGCCCTGCGCCATGCGGTCTCAATGCTCCCCTCTCCACTGGTTTATCTGCACGCAAATGCTCGACTGACCGACCGCAGACAGCCAGCCGCGCCTCTTCCCTGTGTCCGCCTGTAGCTAGCCTGCACCTGGGATCCGTGCCCTCAGCTGCCTGTGCACCACCCCGGTCGGGGATCTTTCTGGCCAACCCGCTCCCCTGCTGGCTTTGCCCCTCTTACCGGTTTAGCTGAGCATGTAGTTGTCTTCGGACTCTGTATTGTCGATTTTCTGTGTGGTTTGGTTGTGTTTATTGTTGTCAAAACTTTGTTGTTTTTAGATTTGGTTGTGCGCCGACGCAAGGTATTTCCACCTACGCCTCCATCTTGGCAGAAGTCAGCCCCTCAGTCTTGTGCCCAGCATGGTGGGAACAAATAGCAATAAATCATGAGGAGATTTATGTTGAACATAAGGACCTTTATATAAACAAATACATTTAATACAGTTGAATAACTGTTCTTTTTCTTACCATCAAATTTAGATTGTGTTTCTTAGCAACAACTATATGGCGGGTGTGCTCCTCACTATAGTACTGTCTGCACTTTTTGGGCATCGAAACTGGGCTGTTCTGAGGGTTGAGAGCGGCGTTCAGGTTAACAGAACTGGCTCGGAGAGGCAGCTTCCACCCCGAGTTCAGTGCCTTAGTGCCAGTTGCAGGACTATTCATTTATTTCTTTTCTGAATTATTTTTAAGCACATGGTATAGAGTAAAGCCTTGTTCTTTCAAAAATATATATTGATTTGATCAGAAGGTTTCATCTTTTCTGCTGACTAACGTTTCTTGTTCCATGATGATGCTGAGTCAGACGGGCAGGCACCCGTGCCTCCCACACCAGGGGCTCGCCACCTTGCCGGGGGCAGCGGGGGTTTGTTAACGGGTCTGGCCTCGCAGTGCCAGTCCTGCCCCTGGAGCTGCGGTGCTACTGGAAATGGCTTTCTGAAGATGACCCTCTTTCCAACATGATGTTCAGGGCATGTGGACTCCTGGTGTCTCCAGTGAGGCTGTTTGCTGTTTAATCAGTCTGTGCCTATCCAGAAAGGTGTCCCAGCCCTGGTCAGTGTGGCTCAGTTGGTTGGAGTGTTGTCCCACAAAACAAAAAGGTCACAAGTTTGATTCCTAACCTGCCTAGGGCATGCACCTAGGTTGCGGGTTCGATCCCCAGTCAGGGTGCATACAAGAGGCAACCAATCCGTGTTTCTCTTCCTCTCTCTCCTTCCCTTTACCTCTCTCTAAAATCAGTAAGCACATCCTCAAGGGAGGATTGGGGGAAAATAACCAAAACATGGCCCAGATTCTGCTTTCTGTGACCTAAGACAATGGTGGCATCTGTGTGCACACATGTCTGTTAGTGAGTGTCCCCCAAAAGCACACTCGACTTCAAGTGCCTGTTACATTTTAGACACAGACTCAGAGTGGACGTGCAGGCCCAGTACACTGTGAGGCCCGCACCGGGTTTTGATCTTGAGGGAATGCCTTTGTCTGCAGCCACGATCTGCAGCACAGAGGGACATGGGTCACATGTAGTGAGCGCCTCTGTTCTTTCACGGGTTCTGTGGCAAAAATGCATGTGAGCAGCTTGCTGAGAGTGACTGAAAGAGGGGAGTGCACCGCCGCTTGGGTTATTCGGGGAGCTCTCTCTGCCTCAGCCGGCATCCAGAACAAAGCGGGAAAGAGCTTTAGGGCAGCAGCACCGAGCTGTTTGTTAGCCAGGCAGCCATGATTTTGACCTTGCTGTAGGTTAAAGGACACAAACCTGAGAAGAAATCTGTTTATCATGTGGGAAATTCATGCCATCCTTGACAGTATACAGTGAGCAAGATGGATGATCTGCCAAATTGGTCCCTCGCATGGGTGAATCAGGGCAAATTTACAGTACAATTCCTTTGCTGCTTTAGATACAAAAATAACATTTGCTGGGTTTTATATCCAGTTGTCTGATGACCTGGAGGTGAGAGAGAGAAGAAATCCGATTTGCAGGACCCACATTGCCTTAAAGATTTATATGGACCATTTCTGCTGTTACGTCTGTCTCTCTCACATCTTTCACAAACAGTGTTGTTTTCTAACCTGATTTTCCAGGTTGAGGACACAGGTTTATGTGCTGTTGGAACTCTGTAGCAGTTTAGGACAATAAGCAGGTTTATCGGTTGAATTGCAGTTGTTTTGGGGGGGGGGGATTTTATCTTTCTAAATATTACACAAAATATCCCTTATGTTTAGGATACATTCTTTATTCTTTTGGATTCAAAATAGGTTGTTATCCTGGATATAATATGTTCAGCAAAGGATTCTGTCATTACATGGCCAATTGTAGTTCACTTATTATTTGGTGTTACGTTTTGTTTAATGAAGCAGTGAGTCTTTGGGGGACCACCTGTATGTGCCGATGTTCACAAAGTGGCCTGGCCTCGTGAGCTGTCATCTTCTGGGGCCAGAGCGCCCACGTGACAACGCTGGGCCTGGCCCCTCCCACACGGTGCTGTGAGGTCTCACTGTGTGCCTTGCTTTGTGGGGGTGGGGGAAGAGGATGACCAAGACACGGAGCCAAAGGCACATTTTACCTTGTGGGTGAAACCATGGTGCTATGTTACCTTGTATTTCCTCCCGACACGGTGTTTCTCTATATTTGAAAATTAGGGAGTGGCCAAAAGCCTTTATTCCAGACATCCCAAAACCAGAGTAGATGTCAGGTTTTAAGAGTGATCCTAATAGGCCAGAAGGGACTGCCCACCAACAGAGCTCGGAGAGGCCTTCCCCAGTGGTCCCACACAACAGCAATTCAAAGGCGCTTCTTAAGAAAGGAACATGCGGAGATCGACCGCCCACTCTGGCCCATCTCTTCCCGTGTTGGTGACGGCGCGACGCAGGCAGAGCTCGATTTTCAGAAGGGCCTCCTGTGGTTTGACAGGGGGCGGGATGGGTGCTCCTGGTCTGTCAGCTCCCTCCAGTCCGGCTGCTAAGGGGCCTTCGGGGGTCACAGTGGGAACCAGCCTGGGGTCCTGAGACTCAGCTCTGGGCTGCCCGGTGCCAGTGTGGAGCTTTAGGTCTCCTTGTCAAAGGTCAACACTGTGGTGACCACACGTCCTAGGCAGTGCTCATGTAAAATAATATATCCATTTGTTTTGTTCCGAAACTGTGGACAAATCAGTGTGTAAATCACAGTGTGAGCAAGGTGCTTCCGAATTAGAGAGCTGTGAGGAGGCATCGGGGAAAATCGCGACAGCACAGGGTGGCTGCCACACTGTTAAGGGAACACCCCTGTACTGAGTCCTCAGAAACTTTTTCTTTAAACCTGTAGTTCCTCTTCTATTGCTACTTTTTTTAATGCCTTGGTCAAAAAACTATAAAACAATTCACGAAGACCCATAGATTGCAATACTATACCCTCTTCTATAGGACATTTACTTATAGGTAAGGAAAGTAGATGTACATGGTGATGTAAGGTTTTCAGCCTCACTTTTCTGGGTGCCTTAATTACAGAAAGCACGCCAAAGACCTCTGCCAGCTGCAGCCCTGCGCCCGAATCACCAATGAGCTCCAGTGAATCGGTGAAGAGTTTGACTGAACTGGTCCAGCAGCCCTGTCCAACCATCGAAACAAGTAAGGATGGCAAACCGCCAGAACCCAGCGAGCCGCCTGCTTCAGACTCCCAGCCCACCACCCCACTGCCTCTCTCCGGACACTCAGCCCTCAGCATTCAAGAGCTGGTAGCCATGTCTCCAGAGCTGGACACCTATGGAATAACCAAGAGGGTCAAGGAGGTGCTGACCGACAACAACCTTGGTAAGTTCCCTTCTGAACAGCTAAGTCCGGGAGTGGCAGGTCACTTCCTGCTGGAGTTCTTAGGAAGAACGGGTGGAGGGGCCTCGGGCTGAGCCAGCAAAGGTTTTAAACGTTCATAGAACGAACATTCCAGAGTTGTGGACACTCAGGGTGCTTCAGTTCCACTGGTCGGTCCCAGCTGGCTTCTCACCACTGTGCCAGTGCAGATGGTCACTCGAGCCACCCTGACTGGAGAATACCCAGCAGGGCTCCAAATCCTTGAGGGCAGGGTCAGCGTCAGCCCAGCAGCGTCTGGACGGTAAGGTGGAAGAGCGTTACAGACTGGGTTCGAACTCTAACCCTTCTACTGGTGTCTGCAGTGATGCTGAGCACGCTACTCTCTGAGCCCTCTCAGTAGCACGGGAGTAACAGTGCCTACCGTGGGGCTGTGAGGAGCGGCGGTGTCTAGCACTCCGCCTGGCAGCTAACGGTCTGTTGTTGCCGTCCCTGCCGCCTCGGGAGGCAGGCTCCAGTCCCCAGGCCTCCCACTGGGTGTCACACCCAGGCCACAGTGCTCTGCCCAAGGGGACTCTCAGGAAGGCCTCTGTGGCACCAGTGATGTGTCCACAGCTGTAAGATTGTTCGGGTGTTTAGTCATCTCAAACCACCATGCTCCTGCAGGACAGTACTGACCAGCTGGGGTTCTCCTGGTTCGGGCATCCGGAGAACAGAAATGGCCACACTCCCAAACACTGCTGACCTTCTTATTGCCTGGGTGTAAAAGTCAGTTAAAAGAGCACTGTTCTCTGCGGTGCAGGTTAGGATGGTCCCCGGGAGTTACTGGAATCTGCTGGCACCTTCAGGAGGGGCCTCGTGTGCCTGTTTTCCCCGAGGGGTGGGAAAGAAAAGAGAAGCAGTGACGTGAGCTCCGGGGAATTTCGCAATGACCTCACAGCTTGGAGGTCAGGCTTATCTGCTTGAGGCCTTCTACACATGTGCTTGTGCAAAATAGAACAGGAGAAAAGTGACATCCACTGAGAACACTTTTAATTAGTTCTTAAAGATAAAAACTTAGCTGTTGACTTAAAAATGGCCAAGATGCGCGGGGACTCCTTGTTCGTGTCGCCCCTGCCTCACGGTCTCACATGTGTCTGGGGGAAGCCGGCCTGACGTGGCACTGCCACCCGCTCCCTTGTAGGAAGTAGCATAGAACATAAAGGTTGAACATCGGCTCAAGAAAACACTGGTTTTCGGACCCTGATAAGTTGCAAGATCGCAGGTATGAGATTACAAACCTTAAGATCTCCTCCTTGGCCTTCCTACCCTTTTCCCCATCAGGGATGGAGTCGTAGCCGACAATGCTCCTCTGTAGCCATGGTTTGTGGGACTTTGTTGTCAGACACTGGGAAGCATAGACCGGTGCTCTGAGGGGTGAAACTTCTCATGCCACACAGATAACGTAAGCCTCTGAGTAGTAACTTCCAGAAGGCTCCACGGCAGTGTCACCCTGGACGCAGAGCTGAGAAGCAGTCTCCATGGTCACTCTCACTGTCTCAGCTTCTCCAGGGGAGGAGCTGCCTCCCCTGTTGGAATCTCTTAGTGAGTTCACAGATGGAGAGGGATCCAGATTACAGCGGAATTAGGCAGCAAAGACGACTCTTAACTGAGAGTCAACTGAGATAATCTCTTAACCTTTGGCCTGGGATCTTGGGGTATTCATTTGTCAATCTCTTGAAATCATATGCAGAATGTATAATTTTCTTCCGGTTCTCAAATAGGTCTGTGACCCAAAAATGATCAAGAGTCACTGCTCTGAAAACCTCTAAAACTAATACAAATAATTTTCCATTTGAGCCCTGACCAGTATGGCTCAGTTGGTTGGGCACTGTCCCACAAAGCAGAAGGTTGCCAGTTCAATTCCTGGTGAGGGCACATGCCTGGGTTGCAAGTTTGGTCCCCAGTCAGGGAGTGTACAAGAGGCAGCTGATAAATGTTTCTCTCTCACATTGATGTTTCTCTCCATTTCTAGTGAGGAAGGGAAGAAGGAAAGAAAAGAAGGGGAGGGGAGGGGAGGGAGGGAGGGAGGGGAGGGAGGGAGGGAGGGAGGGAGGGAGGGAGGAAAATCGCTTGACTTTCCTCCCCATACAACTAGATGGATCAAGCAAATAGTGCTAGCTATATATCACTTTCCTGAACATAGCAAGCTTCTTGAATGAAATGAGATCCATTTGCCAGATGAGAATTAGGAAAAATTTATTTTAACAACCACATCAAAAAATGGGTAAAAGCTTGGGACATTTGTAGCCTCAACTAACAGTTTGAAAAGCAGAGAAACCACAAGTTTACAAATTCGGTAAATGTGTCTCTAAGTTAAAATGAATGGTATCCAAAAAAAATTAATCTCTCAAATCCAAAGCTTTCCACACTCTGAGCTTTACTGGAGCCCCCCTCCTTTGTTCCACGGCCACCCCATGAGCGCAGGTGGCAGTGTTTCCCTCTCTCAGACGGAGGGAATGGGCCAGTCATCCACGGTCCCCCCCGCCCAGGTGTCGTGTCATGCACGCTGCAGTGCCAGACACTGGCCTCTCTGATCCCATCTCCATCTCTGCCTAATGAGTCCTGTTCATTTAAGTTGTCCCATCAGGTCGTTCTCGTTGCACCTGCTTCACATTTGTATCTTTAAAAGTGGTGGCTCCTCTTAACCTGCAGCTGAGTGGCTCTCAGAGAAGAGAAATTTTCCTTTTCAGCCTCTGATGAGCACGCCACTGTGCGTTCCAGAGCGGTCGTCCTCTGATCAGCTGGGGGAGCCCGCTGCCCACCATGGCCCCAGGGGAAAGGCATCGAGAAAACGCACTTTGAGCTCCAGGCAGCTTAGACTGCGGGAACAGACTTCAGAATTGAAAATGGCCTGCTTTTCAGAAAAACAGAGCTGAGGAGCTCTTTCTCCTTCTCTTTCCTGCTGTGACCTTGGGTCAAGTGGCCTCTTTTCTCAGCAAGTCCTCATAACCTTGCAAATCGTGAAAGGAGCTGGTGCAGGCGGCCCTGTGGTTTGAGACTGTACAAGAGAGATCTCCCTGTGTGCTACTTAAACCTCCTGAGCTTGGATTTGGGATTAACCACCTCTGCTAAATGCAGCAGGTGTTATTATCCAGGCCTCAGTTCGTCCAAAGCCTGAAGGCTTTTTGACAGAAACATTGTTGTATATAAGCAGAATGCAAGAGCAAAACTGACTCTGTCTACAGTGACGTTTGTCACAAGTCTGGTTGAAGAAATGTTTCTACAAAGTTCATGCTCCAAGCTGAGACCTAGCTGACCAGACTGGGTCTTTAAACCCTGTGTCTGATTTTAACCTTGACACATACTTATCCTTCCAGATGCCTGGCTCTCAATGATGACATCTCTCTTGGTTCTTTTTTTCTCTCTAGGTCAGCGCTTATTTGGGGAGACCATTCTAGGGCTCACCCAAGGCTCCGTCTCTGACCTCCTCGCTCGCCCAAAGCCCTGGCACAAGCTCAGCCTGAAGGGACGGGAGCCCTTTGTTCGAATGCAGCTGTGGCTGAATGACCCCAACAATGTGGAGAAGCTGATGGACATGAAACGGATGGAAAAGAAAGGTAAATGCCCCACCAGCTGCTTTCTTGTTTATAAATGTGCTGTTTCTTTTAAAGGCTCCGTGCAGAGCTGGGGAGGAACACCGGTCCATGACCCAGGGGCTGTATGGCAGGTGGCAGGGCAGAGGGGTTTTTTAAAGTCATCTGCCAAGGATGGGAAGATCCGTGTCTTTTGCTACCTAGCAGCCCCAACTCAAGGACATTTGAGCCCTGGAGAGCACTTTGACAATTCCTGGTAGCCACCCTGATGGTCAGTGTACCCTTTTTCTTCTCTCAGGAGAGTAAGGTCGCCAAGAAATGAGTTCCAGCACTTAGTGGTGGCTTGTGTCTGCTGTCCCTTGTCTTGTTGGGCGAGCAGTATATCTCCACATTGCTGTGCCTATGCCACATGCCAGGAGCTTTCATGTTATCTGACTAGCCAGATCACTAATAAATGCCTTTGTGGATAAGGACACTTGGATTCAGAGAAGTTAGGTGCTCCCATTAAGGTTGCCCAGCCTGGAAAATGCCAGAGCAAATTCCTGCCAGAACAGCTCTCCGGCCGTGACTTTATAGCGTCCGCCCGTAGAGGACATGGCCTCCTAGAGGGCTCAGTGCCACACTGTCCTCCGGTGCCTCTGCTCCCTCTTGATTGTTGATCGGCATTCCCCTTGTACCTTGGAGGCTACAGCATGGGAGAGACTCTAAGGATTTCCGTGGTGGAAAAGTAATGCCTGTTCCATCTCATGGTTTGCACTGCTACATGCTGCTTCTCACTAGTGAGTCCTCCCCTCAGGGGCAGTCCTGGGTCACTCACCTGCAGTCCTATGAACTCACTCAGTGGCTGAATTCAAATCCTTCGGATGTGGAAATTTGGTACCAGCTGCTGGCCTGGCCATAGAAGCTGTGACTGCCCTTCTTAAATCAGCTTTTGCAGAGGAGTCTGCCCGACAACCGCCCATGTGGCTGTCCCTGGCCTCACCCCTAGCTCCTCTGAGCCCAGGCCTGCATCTCCTGAATTCACCAGGAGAGGCTGCTGTTCCCCACCTGCCAAGCATTACTGTTCTCACTCAACCAGGAAAAGTGCTGGAGCTCCAAAAAGGAGTAAAGGTCTCTGACGCCTCCCCTAGGAGCTCTTGGGCCGGCTCTTGTATCACAGTACATGCTCCCAGTTCCTGGATGCCAGGCACCGTATGGAGCCTTCACTCAATCCACACAGCTCCATTCCATACAGATGTCATTATCTGGGAAAGATGAGTTTCTGGCATTGCGAAACTTACCTGATTGATTTATTTATTTTCAGAGAAGAAGGTGAGAAAGAGGGACAGAAATCTCAGTTGGTTGCCTCTCACACGCCCCCAGCTGGGGACCTGGCCTGCAACCCAGGCATGTGTTCTGACCAGGAATATAACCTGTGACCTTTCAGTTCTCAGGCCCACACTTAATCCATTGAGCCATAGCAGCCAGGGTGAAACTTTCCTGATTTTGAGAGCTGGCATAAGTAAGGAGCAGGAATCCAAACTCGGGGCTATTAGATTCAAAGCCGATACTCTGAGATATGTTCTGTGCCGCGAGCTGGGTGCCTGCCACATGGGACCGTGTGCCCAGGCAGCAGCCTTCCACCCGCCGGGGACCCTTTGGCGGGCTCCTGCCTGCTCTCAGGTGTGTAGAGCAAGGCTCTGAACAGGCCCCAGCCTCTCAGGCAACTCTAGGCAGTGCTGCAAGCCCGGAGGCCTGATGCCACATCATCCCCCAAGTTTTTTAACTTCTTGTTACGGGAAATTTCAAACATAACAATAGAAAGAATGGCATATGAACCCAATATATCCATCTCTGAGTTTCAGCAATTGTCAGTGCTCACCCAGTCCATTTTAAAGTGTTCTGCATGCTGTCAGAAGGTAGTGCCCTTCCTCCTCGGGCTTGCTGAGCGCCAGGAGCTTCCTCATCCAGCGGCAGGTCTGCACGTCTGGGCCAGCACTCCCAAAAGTCACCTCTCTAGCAGCCTCCTGTTGCTGCAGACGTCAGCGGAGTGGAGCCCTGTTTCGGACACCCCCTGGTGTATTTCTCCTCCTGGGCCAGTGGAAAAGGACCTCAGCCCCCAGAAATAGATCCTGGGATTTGCCAGGGGTTGTGGGGAAGGTTCCCACTCCTCCTTCCACACGGGCTCTGGGCGCCATCTTGTGTTACAAAAGAGTTACTGTTTCAGCGGGGCCCAGGCCCTCCTCACATCCCAAGGTCCCTAAGCAGCTGTGGCCCCACTGTCTTCTCTCCCTGGTGGGAATGCTCACTAAGGAGCTTTCACCAGCCCCAGTGGGAGACCAAGGCACCTGACACATCAGACTCAGCAGCAGGTGGCCCGGGGCACAGTGCTTCCTGTGATCTGCGCAGACTGCTGGCCGTCCGCCCGACAGGGTGGGGCTGGCCGGAGAGACCAGGCTCATTTATTTCCAGCCTCTTAACTCTGTCATTTCAGTTTGGGATGGGGAAGTGGCAATTGGCCTTCTCAGTTGTTTCCTAGTTGTAATCATAAAATGGCAAGTTAGGTAACTCCCCAGCCCAAGTTTCTACATCTGCAAGGTGAGGGTGATAATACTAACCTTTTCTGGCTGTGAGGATTAGAAAGAATGTACCTAGCATAACAACCAGCTCACATAAGTGCGCAGTAAATGGTAACAATAAGTGCTCAGTAAATGGTAGTTATTAAAATAATACCTATCCTGCCCTGGCTGCTGTAGCTCAGTGGATTGAGCGCGGGCCTGTGAACCAAACAACTGTGGTTGGATTCCCAGTCAGGGAATATGCCTGGGTTGAAGGCCAGTTCCCAGCAGGGGATGCATGAGAGGCAGCCAAACACTGATATTTCTCTCCCTTTCTCCTTCCCTTCCCCTCTAAAGATTAAAAAATACAATATTTTAAAAAACAAAATAGTATCTATCCCTTTAAAATCAATGAAAAGAAGTCGTGCTACTGTTCTGGCCCAGTGTGAAAATTCCCCACCACGTGATCTAGACCAGGCTTCACTCGCACACGGTGCTCCCTTCTCTCCCATAAGGCTTTGCTTCTCCCTTTAGCTTGAATCTTTTACCACTCTGCCTGCCTGCCCTCTGTCCTTCCTTTCTTTGGAAACCTTTCTCTACTCTGGTCTGCCTTCTTCTTCGTGTTCCCTTCATGAGATGGTCCTCGAACCAACCTGCGCACACAGTTATAAGCACACGGATGCACATACATGTGCAACCTCTCTAGTTCACGGGCACAGCTCCTCTCCCTGGAGGATACAGAGGCACCTTGACAGTCCCTAGTGTACTCCTGAGGCATGTGAGACCCATCTGTCAGTGCTGCTGAAGGGTGACTCCCTGGCTTTCCGTGCCCCCCACACTGCAGCCAGACGGGGCCGCCACGGAGCCGGGCGGCCTGTGCTTCCTGGACCGGACTTCCGTCAGGCCTCAGTGCTGCCACTTCCTCCCTGTGTGACCTCAGATGAGTCGTTCAGCCACTCCAACCTTCAGTTTCTTCATCTGTACAAAGGGCTGACAGTGGTCTCTCTCACTGTGTAACTGTGACGGTTAATGGTAAATGTTACTGTTGATGCTGATACTGCCACTCTTAATACTACGTACCACTTGAATTAAATAATATTCCCCATCTTCCATCAATATTAAGAAGTTTTAAAGACTTTTCAGACCATAGTCCAAACTACTAGTTCACGAGAAAGATCACTGTGGATTTATTTGTGTGAAAAGCTTAGTCGGTGATTATTGACGCATTATAATAAGAAGAGCAGGCGATGCCCAGATACTACTGACAGAACCGAGAGAACTGGAAATCCAGGAATCGCCTCCTATTTGTTTCACAGTCCACTCGGCACATCCCCAGGCAAGAGCCACACGCTGAGTCCCTGAGCCTGTTGCAACCGGCCCGCTCCCCACCACCCCTCCTAACCCTGCTCCACAGTGAAGACACACAGCATCTCCACCTGCAGGCCCTCGTCTCCAGCTTCTGTGCTACTCTGCTCTCTCCTGTGCCCCTCCCAGGGCAGGCCACAGACTTCCCCCAGCTCTGAGCCCTGCTCTCGCCCCTTGTCCCCCTCCTCCTGGTCACACCCTGCCTCCCCGAAGCTCTTCCCAGCAGGCTCTGCTGTAAGTCCCCTTCCCGTTTCCATCACCTGCCAGCCTCCTGCTCACTCTACACTTTCTCAAGACCATGGCCCCTGGATCACAGTCTTCCTCAGCGCTCACGTCCTGCCTCCCCCAGGGAGATGTTAGGACCCACTGACCTGTACATCACCTAGGCGGCAAGCTCTTTGACCTCCTCAACCCTTGGATGTTCCCCAAATCTTGTTATCACCCACAACCATTCTACATCTCAAAGCCTGGATTCAGATACCACACTCACCACATTCCACTGTCCTTCCGTCTTTCCGTGTTTCTGTTCACTCCACCTTACCCCAGACGGCCCCCAGATACCTACCCCTCCGTGTTTTCCCCATCACTTTGCCTCTGCTGCCTTTAGCCCTTCCTCAGACATCCCAGACTCTGTGATCCATCGCTTCATTACTCTCCGGCTATGGTACTCTCTCACACCTTCCCATTCCTCATCCCTCCGCAACTCCCAGCCTTGGGTTAGTGCCCTGCCAGTTTTTTCCACCCATCCTCCTTGGCATCCGGGACCTGCCGCAGAATAGCCCAGACTTTGTGGGTTGGTGTCCCCTCAGATTTGTATCTCCGGCATCAGCGGGGTCCTCTGTGCCGCTCTCCCCACCCCCACCACTTCTCACAACTCCTCCACTCACGGGACTCCTTTCCCTTTACCTCAGACCTCCTTTCTCCTGTCTTCCTACTTCACAAAGAAAACAAAGGCCACCGACTTGCGCCACTAGTCCCTGTGGGTTTCCCTCTGTCTCCGCCCGTCCCGTGCGCACCTCCAGTGACCGTCCTCTCTCTCACCCATGTCACCAGCCTTCTTTTCCCCCTCAGCTCAGAGCTTTTCCAGCTCTCTCCCATTTTTATAGAGACCCACCCTCAACCCTAGATTTCCCTTCTAGAAGCCATCCTGTCCATCTCTCTTCTTTTATGGTTATGCTTCTTAAAATAGTAATTCGTTCTCACTACCCTCACTTCTCACCCCCCATTCCCTGTCAGACCTACGCAGCTGGGCTCCTGCTCCCGCAGCTCCACTCTGTTCACCAAGGTCCCCGTCATGTCCGAGTCCCTAAACCCACAGGACACACGGGTCCTTGCCAGACCGTCCTTTCTGCAGCACTGACGCTGTTGACCATCAGCCTCCTCCACTCATCCCTCTAGCACCCTGTCGTCTCCTCCGTGGCTGCTGCTTCCTGGGCGTGTCCTCTGCATGTGGCTGTTCTCCATGCTTTCGTCCTCAGCACTTCTCTGTCTCAGCAACGCCTTTGACTTCAATGCCGTTTCCATTCGAGTGGTTCCAGATTCCTCTCTCTAGCCCAGACCATTTTGAGCTTAATACCTACCTACCCAACCGCTTACTGAGCATCTCAGTGTGAAGTGCCCAGAGGGCCCTCAAACGTCACACCTGTAAGACAAAGCATCATCTTATCTCTTCGATCTGCTCTTCCCACGGTGCCCAACCCAAAGACACCACCACCCACTGCATCCCCCTGAGACACAGGGCCATCCTCAGCTTCATGGTTGCCTTCAAAGGGCTGAATGTAATTTCAACTCCTTAATAGTTAAGGAGTAGTTACATTTACACAGCCCTAGAATTATTTTGGCTCTTTAAAGGCAACCTCGAGGCTGATGTGGCCCCTGGTGAAAATGAGTTTGACACCCCTGGTCAAGTTCGTTGAATCAACCACCAAGTCCTGTCAGCTCCACCCCTTAACATCCCCACCATCCCTCTGCTCTTCTCTCAGCCCTGCCACTACGGCCTTATTTCAGCTCTTTATCACTTTTTGCCTTCTGGCCCTTCTCCCTCCAAAGTGTAGTCAGAACAGCCTTTCAGAAACATATAGCTGATTACATCATCCCCTTGATAGAAATCGTTTTGTTTATTTCCACTGCCATTAAGATAGTGTCCACCTTTTGTCCTGCCCTTTGCCCATCTCTCCAGCCGTGAGCCGTACAGCTTCTCCTACCCCAGTGCCCTGTTCACATGCACACACACAGCACACTTCGATCATGCTGTCCTGTAGCTCCGCGTCTCTGCACACACTGTCCCCACTTTTTGGAGCAGCCTCCTACCATCTTTTACCTCATCACCTATCTTTCCTGATTAACCCCTCCTTGTCCTCCAAGACTCAGGTTAAACAGTATCTCTCCCGAGGAGCCTTCCCTGGCCCTCCCCAGGCTGGCCTGCACAACTCCCCTGGGTGCCCCTACTGGGTCGTCTGTCTGTGCACCTGTCTGTGTTGCCCCCGCTGAACTGCTAGCGACACAGGGCCAGGCAGAGCCTCCCGTCACAACAGAGCTGGTTCTTGATGAGTGTGTGTTGGGTTTCAGAGTGGCTCTAGTTCACGTGTCTGGAGATGCTCTTGGAAGAGCAGGGCAGAACAGCCTGATGCCACAAACTTATAATCTCAATCCAGTGGTAAACCGTGTACTGTGGGGTCAGGGGCATGGACAGATCTCTCAGCCGAGCCGACCCCTGAGTCTGACCTCTCTCTCTTCCTCAGCCTACATGAAGCGGCGACACAGCTCCGTCAGCGACAGTCAGCCCTGCGAGCCCCCCTCTGTTGGCATTGACTATAGCCAAGGCGCAAGCCCTCAGCCCCAGCACCAGCTGAAGAAACCCCGTGTGGTGCTGGCTCCTGAAGAGAAGGAAGCTCTGAAACGAGCGTATCAGCAAAAGCCATACCCGTCACCAAAAACCATCGAAGAACTTGCCACCCAGCTCAACTTGAAAACCAGCACTGTCATCAACTGGTTCCACAATTACAGGTACGCCCTGCTCTCAGCCCAGCGCGTCCCGCTCCCACAGAGCACACGTTGAGCCCCGCGCAGGAGGTCGGTCTGTACCACACTGTGGCTGATAATGGTCCGCAGGAATGACGTTCAGTACGCCCCAGCATACTGGAGGCTGAGAACTTGCTTAGTTCCCAGTGGTTTGGTTAGCAGGTGGGTTTTTATGTTGTTCAGTTGGCCATCTTAACTCCAAAGAGGTAGCGTTATGTAGTTAGAGAAAATCCACATCTATGATCAAAAAAATTTTTCCCTCGTATATCATTTAATAAGGGAGAGTATAGACATTCATGGCATGGTTCCGTAGCAGTGGACATTTCTTAGGTGATTTTTTAATGCTTTCTTGGGGTCTTTTACTATATTGTTTTTCAAATTAGTTTTATTAGTTTTGTGATTAAATAAATTCAGTAGTGTAAACTGCTTTCTTTTTGGGAAAGCTCCAAGCAAATGAAGATTTATTGAGCATCTACTGGACCTCCAGACACTGAGCTAAGTGTTTTAACCAACACTGTATCACTTGATCCTCACAACTGTATAATGCACATAGTGTGATCAGCATTCTACAGGTGAAAATACAAAACTCAGAGGGGAGTAGCGGGAGCTGAGTGCTCTCCTTGTGGAGCAAAGTAAGCTGAGGTGACATGCTTGGATTAGATCATGGAAATTCACTGAAAGATAATGAATTATTGATCACAGCTGTAATCAAGACTCCCTACTAGCAGAAACCAAGAATTTCCAGGGGCCTGATGGAAATTCCTGCTTGTTTCATATCTTGTAAGGGGTCATCTCCATTGCAAGTGCTCATCAGAACTTCATTCTGTCTAGGGATCCGTGAAAGCAGGGTAGGTCCTCCTGCACACCAAAGTGTCGAGGAGCTAGTGTGGGAAGACCCTCAGTTACTCACCTGGAACAAGTGGCAGGTGGTAGATCATAGACAGTCAGGGGCCAGCGGGAGGAGTTGTGTCTCTGCCTGGGCTCTGCCTCATTGGTAGGTTCTGCTGGTGCTTCTGAAGGGGCCCAGATAACCTCCCAGGTTCTGAACAAATTGGAAAATATTTAAATATTAGATGGGAACCAAATAGCACCTTTACTGCTAAAAAAAGGCTAAAGTTAATAGATGAAGCTTAGTGTGAGAGCCAAACAGACTTGCTACCTGACCCCTAGATCCAGGCAGATCTGCCCGTTGTGGCAGCACTGGCCCCAGGCAGGCCTCCCCCTGTGTGGGCTAGCTCCCATGAGGGCAAAGAAAGTACGTGAGCCAAGCATGACCCGCTTAGCCATCATTTACCAATCAGACAAAAACGGGCAAAGTGAGGCCAGCAGTTCCAACATCGAGCCCCCTCTACGTGGAAGGAAACCATGACAGTAGTGAACAAGCGAGGTGGAGGAGAATGACTGGAAGCGTGAGCAGAGGGTCACCAGAGCCTCTCCCCGCCAGGCGTTACATCATCCCATTCTCACTCTCTAGACCCAAAGGTGCGCTTGAATCTGTAATTTCAAGTTAGGCCCATATTAATGCAGGTGTTGTAACACTGGATAGTAGTGCGTGAAGCTGTAGATGACTGAAATCTGGGTAAAGGTGCTACTAATTTACACAAAATATGTCCAAAACCATCTCCCCTGGTCCTGCTGGGGCCACCTTTGTCTAAGATTCCCCGTCACGCTTCAGTTGAGTGTCAGTCACTGCCTCCTGTCTAGGGCACACTCTCTTCTAGTTTCTCAGCTGCTGTCACTCGTCCTGCTGGCCTCCTGACAACCACAGTAATGCCCAGCACATGGTGGTCAGTGGGTCACTGTGGAGAAGCAAATTCAGTTTACACCCTTGGCAAAAATAGAGAAGGGGGAGAGACGGAGAATAGCAGTATGCTGTCAAAACTTAGTAAATGAGCTCAGGTCTGGGTCTAGAGTAGGTGCTTCGTAAATGCTTTATTTCAAAAATAACTCCACAACAAAACAGGCTGGGCTACGGGAGAGCAAAGGTCAGAGACTGGTTTCAGCTGTGGAGATCTGGAAAAGTATCATGAGATGTACAGGGTCTTGAAAGAAGAACAAGAATGTTGTAAGGCACAAATAGGTCTGAGAAGTCAGCCCCATCAGGCTATTGAGATCCTGCTTTGAGGTGTATCCTCTTTTGGCTCAAATATACTTTTTTTTTAAAGTGAGCATGAGCCCTGGCTGGTGTAGCTCAGTGGATTGAGCATGGGCTGCAAACCAAGGGGTCGCTGGTTCAGTTCCCAGTCAGGGCACATGCCTGGGTTGCAGGCCAGGTCCCCAGTGGGGGCCATGTGAGAGGCAACCATACATTGATGTTTCTCTCCCCCTCATTCCCCCTCCCTTCCTTCTTTCTAAAAATAAATAAATAAAATCTTTAAAAATAAATAAAGCGAGCACGAAGTCATTCAGAATTAGCATAAAGCCCAAAGAACTGAAGTTACTTGCCTAAGGTCACCCAGGAAGCAGGTAAAGTGCCCAGCTTTAACTCAGTCAGAGCAAGTGCTGCCTCCTGGCTGTAGCTCTTCCCTTAAATGCTCAGTACAGGCCAACGTAGCATGCCTCAAAATAAGCCTGGCAAGAAGTGAATGCCGTCACTCAGCTGAGATCTTACTCCCAGGTAGGTATATCCTGTTTTTGGCTCAAATAACTTTACCACAGAGCTTCACACCACACAAGGTCTGGCACACAGCAGCACATACATCGCTGAATGGGCTTAACTCCTAAGCGAGAAGGCAATCTCTTACATTCTTTCTGCAGGAGTTAAACAGCAGTGATTTTTACTTTCTCTGCCCCACTGGAACCCTTGGTGAATAATGCTTGGATCAATTTTTGCCCCCATCAGAAAAATAAAACTTTACTTCCTCTTACCCTTTTCCCTAGAGAACTTGGAAGTAACTTAGAGTGACCATTTACCTAGAAATGGGACGAGAAATGCCAGGACAACATACCACAATACTCCTGGTCTCCTGGAAGGTCAGGTTCACCCTACAGAAGTTCTTTTGAAAGTGTTTGTAGAAACTGTTTTGAGAGTTTGCATAACTTGTCTGAAAACCAGATTTGCTCCTGGGACCTGGTCTTTCTAGACCAGAAGACAATATTCCTCATAGACATAAAGACAATACTAGGCTAAGAAGGAGGATGTCTCATATCTTTTGAGCACGTAATACAGAGTGGGGCAAAAGTAGTTTTACAGTTGTTTATGGAAAATAATACGATAGTCCTGGCTAGTGTGGCTCAGTGGATTGAGCATCAGACTACCAACCAAATGGTCACCAGTTCAATTCCCAGTCAGGGCACATGCCTGGGTTGCAGGCCTGGTTGGGCCCCCAGTGGGAGGCTCTCAAGAGGCAACCACACACTGATGTTTCTTTCCATCTCTTTCTCCCTCCCATCCCCACTCTAAAAATAAATAAAATCTTTTTTTAAAAAATAATATAATAAAGAATAAATAATAAACTGTGTTTTATGTGCTCACAACTGTGAACCTACTTTTGTCCCACCCTGTATGTGCCAGACACTGAGCCATGAGCTTTATAGGTGTGTCGTCTCATTAGACCCTCCAACCAGCAGTCAAGTACAGCGCTGCCAGCCCCAGGTTACAGAGAAAGGTTGCACATGCTAGCTGAGCCAGTGAGGGCGCAGCCTGGGTCCCATGCCGCAGACTTGAAGTTCTCCTTCCCTCCCCCAACCCAACCCATCTACCTCAGCCTTAGCACTTGTATTTGTCATTCAAAAGGCACCTCCATGGTAAGAAAGAAGAGTTTGTTTTGTTTTGTTTTGGGGGGGGGGGGTTGGTCTACTTTCTGTCCTATATTATACTTTTAATATTTTATTTAATCTTGTCTCAGCAAAGAAGATACAGTTCTCTACATTTTGCTCAAAAACACAGGAAATTATCCAAGTTGTATGGGTAGTAAGTGACAAAGCCAGATTTCAAACCCAGGTTTGCCTGGTTCTAAAAAGCCTGCACCCTGTTCTGGGCCAGTCTGCCCTGGACTCAGAATTAGTACTTGGTGGGCCTGTGACCTGTCTAGGACCAAACCCTCAGCTGCCCGTCTAGCTCCCATCTCCCCAGCCAGGGTGGAATGGGCTTGTGTATTCACCCCACTGGTAGTTTCAGCTGCCAGTAAAGAGTAGGTTACCCTCCCAGCATAATGCCCAGGAGCCTATTGAAGGAACCATCATTTCAAAGGCTCCCACCGTAGCCCCAGGGAAGGTGGAAAGCCTTCCATTACCCCTAGGGACCTCTAGGGGGCGTTCAGGACCTCACCCTGCAACTCAGGCTCAGAAATTGTCTTCAGGACAAGAGTTTTAGAGCTCACCCTGTACAGGGAACAACAATCACTGGGCAGACAGCCACCACCAGAGCTGATATACTGGACTAAGCTACAGCCAGGTTCTCCCTGGCCCCAGCATTTCCCACATCCAACACAAGACGTAACATACAGTGCATGCTCCAAAAAACATTACCTATATTGAGTTATATGTACTGCAGAAAATATTTTCCTGCATTCCTAATCCAAGGGCTTTCTGCAGGCTAATCTCTGCAGGACACTAGACTGGATGCTAATTTACCGGAAGACTCTTTGCCATTAATGGTTGACTTTTTCAACTCTGGAATAAACATCTAGAGAGACTTCTGATTGAGGCTCATACTGTCAGCATGATGGGGGGAGAAACTTCGGCACAGAAAGACTGAGTGGGAGCCCTTCCGCGATGTCTCCAAGGGCTTCCCCACAGGGACGGCCGGGCCCCAGTCCTTTCCTTCAGACCCAACAAAGCCCCGGGGCACATTTCCCTCCATCAGCTGAACTCAGGTTGATTAACACATGTCTGACATGTTGGAGCACACGCTTGGCCTGCCTTCTGCTTGATCAAATGTCACTCTTCCTGACCCCTCTGGTGTTCTCCTTTTGAAGAAGGACATCAGTTGAAACATAATTTGATGGAATTCCACTTCAGCACTAATAATTGGTTCTCTGTCATGAAGTCCTGACGAGGAAACAGTGGTTACTGCTCATCCTGCATTTGCAATTACTCAGCATTCCTTACTGTTTAACAGTAAGCCCCGCGCTCATCCAGGGCATGTGCAGAGTAACAGGACCTGGCCATTGGCAGCCTGGTCAGAGGCCGGGCAGGGTTGGGATGGAGGTGCCACTGGATATGTAACGTCCATGCTCCATCCTAAGGGATGGAGGACTGGCATTCCAACCAACGGACGGCTTAATCGAAGGTACAGAGTTCGGGGGGCATCAGGTGGAGCCTTTGCAGAGGCTATGCCAGGGCGGGCGGGTGAGACTCGGTGCGGAGCAACTGGGCTGGAACAGGGGCCGCAGAAGGCCGGCGGGCCCCAGGGAAGGGGCCGGTGTCCACCTGTGCACAGCGGCCACCTCACGGTGCTGTCCCTGCTTGTGTCTCCTAGGTCTCGGATCCGCAGAGAACTGTTTATTGAGGAGATTCAGGCCGGGAGCCAGGGCCAGGCCGGGGCCAGCGACTCCCCGTCGGCCCGAAGCAGCCGGGCGGCGCCCAGCTCTGAGGGCGACAGCTGTGACGGCGTGGAGGCCGCCGAGGGCCCGGGCGCCGGGGACACTGAGGAGTCGGGTGGCCCTGCGGCCGCCACCAAGTCTCAGGGAGGGCCTGCGGAGGCCGTCGCGGCCCCGGAGGAGCGGGAGGAGGCGCCACGGCCCTCGGAGAAGGCGGAGGCGCCGCCCTCGGGGACCCCGGCCCCGGACGACGCAGACGAGGGCCGAGCCCGGGCCCCGCCGCCGCCCGAAGGCCCCGCGGACGGCCCGAGGCCTGTGCCAAAGCCCGCCGCCGCGCCCGCCGCCGGGGAGGACGCCGCTACCTCAGCCGCCCCGCCGGGGGAGGGCCCCTGCGGGGCCCGGGACGCCGACGGGAGTTCCGCGTTGCCAAGCACCAGCGCGCCGGCGGCCGCCCGCAGGCCCAGCTCGCTGCAGAGCCTCTTCGGCCTCCCGGAGGCGGCGGGCGCCAGGGACTCGCGAGACAACCCCTTGAGGAAGAAGAAGGCCGCGAACTTGAACAGCATCATCCACCGCCTGGAGAAGGCCGCCAGCCGGGAGGAGCCCATCGAATGGGAGTTCTGAGAGGCGCCGTCCGCCCACCCCCAGGGCCGAGCAGGGCCGGGCCGAGTGGAGCCGGGCCAGGTCCGGCCGAGCCCGCCGAGCAGGGCGGAGGGGCGGGCGCCGACTCCGCGGCCAGGACCGTGTTGCGCACTTACTGCCCTGCGGGCCACAGGGCAAAATCGCCATAGGCCAAGGTGCATATAGAAAACAAAGGAGCATTAAGCCCAATCTATGTCGTGTTTTCAAGGAAGAAAACGGAAATGTGTAGTCGAGCTTTTTTGTACCCTGAAGTGTTTTTTTTATTGCCCTAAGTGATTTCCACAGGTTCTGGAATAACTCTTACAGCTTTGCCTTGCGCCCTCCTCTTTCGTGTGGGCTATAAAAAAAAAAAAAATCAAACCCACATATTAAAAGGGGGCTTTTTATCTGCCATCTAATGGCTTCAGAGCGATAATACACTATTATCTTCTTAAACCAGGAAGGGGGGGGATTTTTCAGAAAAATTAAAAAAGAAAGTTTTTGTAGCTGTTCAGTTGCCACTAAGAGATTGCACAGTCAAACCGACTCTAAACACACTAGTTTGGATTCCTAAATATTTTCAAGTAAAGAATCTTCTCGTTTGAAGCTTTGAATTAAAATAAAACACATTTACTCCACATATTTTTTAACAAAAAGAAAAGTCACATCAGGAAAATAACCAATTTTGTGGTAGCTGACGTAGTGTTTCTTGTACGTGAATAGAACCTGACCTGTAGTGCACATCAATCCATAGCTTTAACTGGCTCTGGGCTTTTGCTGACCAGGGTCTGTTTAATACACTCCATTCTAGGCCAAATCAGGACAAAAAGAAAAGATCCGAATCTAGGTATTTTATAATCTGCTTTTTAACCTCTAACCGCAGAGCACGCTGATCAGACCTCATATCTCGGAGGTTTAGGAGACAAGTTAGAACTGTAGCATGTACCTGTTCATTTTGTTTAATTTATGGTGTCTACGTCTGTGTTAGTGTGTCTGCACATGTGTGAGCATTTAAAGAAAGGAGGAAAGAGTAGGCCACTGAGGTCACGGCAGACAGTTCTGGGGCCCGACGGGGCCCACTCCGCGCAGGCAGCAGTTCCCCTTGGCACAGAAGGCACCACACCTCACACCACTCTCCCAGGCGCCTGATGGACTGAGCCCCACCAGGGGACGCCACTCCCCGGGCCCGGGCAGGGCTCCCGCGCACTCTCTCTTTCCCTTCCTTCCCACCACAAGCACTGATGACTGTTGAAGTCGTGGGAAGCGTCCTTCCCTGAAGAAGAGAGAACGTGGCACTCTGGGCTCTGCTCCCACCCCCATAGAGATGGCCCACACTGACACCAAAACGTTGATACTCTTTACTTCCAGACCAGACCATTCGCTCTTCATTCATATTGCCTCTCGGGACGTTCTTTTATGCAGTCTTTTACTAAGTCTTTTAGGTCAGCCTAAGTACAAATCAAGAGTCTAACTTGTCTCTGATTCCTCCTGTTGTCTATGTGTATATGCGTGAGAATAGAGGTGGATGCGAGTGTGCGTGTGTGCGTGTGTGCAATTTTATACGTCTGTGTATTTTCTTAAGTACCTGTGCACACATAGAGTGCATTACTGCCACCTTTTTTCAATAAGCTGTTCAGTTATGGCTTCTACAAGTTTGCTAATTTAGACTCCTTTATTGCCATATCTTTAAACTAACAATAGATGATTTCGGTATATATATATTTTTTTTTGCTTATTTATAGGTGCTGTATTTTATTATCTGATTGTTAGGAAGGGATGAAAGGGGCAAATATTCTTTAGAGGGATAGACTGCCGGCAGTATTGGGTATAATTTACAAGATGTAGTTGTCATACTGTATATTACTGATTGAAAACTTTTTGACCGTATTGTGTATCATTGAAACCTTTGTCTTAGGTCAACATCTTTGGATGACATTTTAATGGTGCATTCATTATTTCTTAAGTTTAATTAATATTATCTTTTTTGATTTGGGGGTGGGAGGGAGTTACGAGTTTCGAGGTATGCTCCCGCTATCACACCTCAGTGTGCTTGTATCAATTACCTTGTAGGACTTGGACTGTAAGATGTGAAACCACATTTCTTGCATGACATTTTAGAAATTGTATATTTCATTTACAGTCTTTTAACCTGCAACTGCAGCACTTAGTTCAAGTTTTCACAGATTTAAGAGTCACTACACTAAAGACAATGCCTTTTCATGAATGAGAAGTTTTCAGAAGGCTCTAGGAGGCTGTGAGGCAGGCCGTCTGTCTTTCGATGGTTGGATCATCTCTGAACTTGAGGTCTGGTTCAGCGAGAAGAGAATTCAAAATGGAGGAGCTTAAGGGGAAACAGATTCACATCTGGCTCAGTGCAGGCGCATTAAGAAGAGCGAGTTTGCGTTAGTGACCCTTAGGACAGCGAGGAGCAGAGCCCCTGACAGTACTGTGGTGTCCTCTCCACAAAAACCTCGAGGGAATTTTGTCATCGTGTGTGATGAGTCACTAAATATCTGATTTTCATCAGAATCAAAAGCAGGGAGTTAACAGGAAATATTAGGGTAGTGTTTTAGTTTTAAAGGCATGACTGTTATTTATGGAGGTATTAAATGCAAGGAAATTGGAAAATTATAAATTTGTTCATTCTAGTGGCCAAATAGTAACAGTCTAAAACAGCCACTTTGGCTCTTCCAAGCAATTTAGTCATTTCTGTTGTGCTGGGATTTTTTTTTAACTAGGTTATTGTTGATTTCCATTCTGTCTCTTTTGCCAGACTTACATCTGGATGCTCGATACAATCAGTTGGTTAAATTTTTGCTTGCAGTTCTGTATTTGTATTTTTTCTCTATTTATTTTTTTATTGCCATCCCAACCCTGTTCTCCTTTGTGTCTAAGCCATCGCTGTCTGTCATACTTGTTAGAGCTGCCACTAAGTAAGAGAAACCTGTCCGCGGGGGCAAGCGTCCCCCTCCTTGTTGCGCCCCTCAGTTTGAGTCTAAGGGTTGAGCTTTCATCTTGAGAAGCAATATTCAAGTGCCTTGAACAGCGTCCTCTCCATGGGGCTTTACCTTCGGCCGGCTGGCGTTCCAAGCAGTAGCTCCCACAAGCAGCAGCTCCCACAAGCAGCCAACCTCCTCCTCTTTACGCTCCATCAGTTTAAAAAGCTGATTTGTACCTCTCTCCTGGGGAAAACGGTTCCATATAAAACACTAACACTTAATTACAAGCTCCATTATACCATTTTAAATGGCTGCTTTTTGTTAATTGGAGGCAATGTTCATAACTTAAGGTTTTTGCCATTACTTAGCTGGCTAAATGGAGGCTCGGCATAAAATCAGTGTTCACAGTCGGCCTCTCGACCCTCGGTCCCTGCCCGCACTCTCCTGCGGTGTCTGCGGTGGGAGGTGTGGGTTCTGGCCCAGACCCACGCCCGCTCGTTCCCACCACCCAGCTCCCAAGTGACCAACTCGCTCGAACTGCCACGTCAGTCAGGATGTCTGTGATTTCTGTCCACCAGACTTTAGAAAAGATGACCACAGCCATTACTTCAACTCAGTTATTCTCAGAGCTACCCTTCCTGAGGAACACCACAGTGCACAGTGGCTGATGGTCAGCAGATGGCCCTGAGACGCAGGCTTGGGAAGAGTCTCTGGGAAATGCCAGGATCTTGACCCGTACGAGTACTCTCAAACCCTGGCCATTGTGTCTGGGAAAGTGACTGAGGCAACAAATAACCGTGCGCGGCCCCCCTCTACTTCCTAAGCACAAACGCCTCCCTGCCCAGCTTCCTTCCTGTTGGCATCTTCATCCTCCCCATGTGGAGACCATCCTGTCTGATGTGGACGTTTAGGTCTGCCGGCTGGTGGTCTGATGGTCCAGACCCAGAGTGCTGTGGATCTTCAGGTTAAATGGCACTCGGCGCTCTCTCTGGCATGAGGGACCCTCCCCTCCCTGGGGTCCAGCTGCCCCCTGGGCCAGGGCGCGTCAGCCGCACAGTACATGAGCAGACCAGGCAGGAGGCAGGTCGTGCCAGCTGACTTCCCTAAGATCCAGCGGCAGTCACGCCCTGGGCAGCCACAGCTGGGCCGGCTTTCTCAGTCCCTCCTAAAGTCATGCCCTTTCACACAGGAGTAATCAATGAACTCAGCTGATACTCTGGGCGTTGTTTTTCATTCCCCTGCTTTTAAAGAAATAAACCTCACTGAAAATAGCAGAGGAGCCGGGGGGGTAGACGCACACCCTGGGGTCAGGTCACCGTGAAACAGCGATCGTGACTTAGTGGACCTGGAGCTGGGGGGCAGCAGCCTCTGCCTTAAATGTACCATGACAGGTGCCTCTCAGCAGGCCCACAAAAACAAGGGTCTGCTCACAGCCATTGCAGGCCCTGCTCTTGGAGGCCAGCGCGCCAGCTGTGCCAGCAGGGGTGTGGCAAGGCGAGGTTCTGGCGTGTGTGGTGGGCGTTAGCCAGGTCCCTTCAGGCTAGAGGTTTGGTTCCCTCCCTGGATGTTCTCAGTTGTCACAATCCTCATATGTCCCCGTCTACCTCACTAACCCATGCTGCCGTTTGACATCACTCCTCCCCCCACACCCGTCAGAACCATGCGGCCAGTGGGCTTCGGGGAGAGATAAAGCTAGAAGGGTGGCATCCATGACCTTGGCCTGATGGGCAGGCATCTTCTCTCTTCTGAGCATGACACGGACAGACAGCTGTGGGCACGCGGATTTTTCTCTTCCACCTGTTCTTGAAAATCTATCAGCTGTTTCCTTGGCAGATGGGCAGCCTCAGGCCTCAGAGGGACTTGTGTTTGGCCTGCCTTTGTTTCTGCCCATCCCTACTCAGCTGTTAGCTCCATCACAGTCGCTTTCCTTGCCCTGGGCTGCCCCTAAATGGCCACCTAAGGACACTTCGCCAGGGTTCCTACCTGGTATCAGAAGCTCTGTCTTTATTGTCTCTGGGAGGCTGTGACTTCAGCTCCACTGTGACACTCCTTTGGAAGCATCTCAAAGGCAGGAGAGGAAATGGCATTCTGCAGCCCACTTGCCCAATCTCCAGTCACGTGGCCCTTTCTTTCCCAAAGAGTATGCCAAGTTCCACCCAGCGCTAACGAAAACCAGCTCTTAGGGCTGCTGCTGGTTGGAATTGGGACCATCCACTCTGGTGGCCGAAGTGTTCTGATAGAAAGAATTTGGAAATGGGAGCCTGAGATCTGTGCCATCATCGTGTGCTCTGTGCCATCATCGTGTGCTCGGGCGTCACCAGGAAAAGCTCACAGGCAGAAATGCCCCCGGGGCTTCGGGGTCCCGCTCGGGCCTTGGGGGCATTAAGGGAGCCTTCGAGGCCCACAAGGCAGAGCTCCTGCCCCGAAACTCTGACGTGACAGGTTCCACTTCCGCCGTGTTGGACAACAGGCTGACCGGCGCACTAAGAGTCATCCGGGTTGACAGTCTGATTTCCATTTCCATCCGGGTGAATCCAGACAGCAGAGGATAGGGTGCGGGGAGCAGCCCGCTGGACAAAACGGGCCCCACCCCAGAGCCTTCCTGCCCCAGCAGCCCAGCTGCCGAGAGCTCATGCTTGGTCAGGGAAGAAGGAAATGCAGCCCCCCCCCCCCCCCGCATCGGTCCCATCGGAACGGCTCCCACCCACCCAGGCCTGGCTTCTGCCCTTCCGCCACCCCCCCCCCAAAGATACTGCGTCCACACTGGCAGTGACATCACCTCCATTCTCATTTTTGGATGAAGTGACATTTAGCTTTAACAAGACATTTCCAAAGCGCCTAGTGTCCTCCAAAATGCTAACTTCAAAAGTTGGGCATTGTAGGCAAAGAATCCTAAAAAAAGGCTAGTGAGAGAAAGACATTAGGCTGTGCGTAAATGTGCACTTCCCCAAACCCCGTTATTAAACTTAAAATGCCTTTGAGTTGCTTTTCGTGATCATTTTAATTTATCCAACACTGTTAAGAAGTGTAGTCTGTGTTACTGTAACTTTTGTAGCATTTAGGCTTTAATTTCTTACCACAAAATATGCTGTTTGCTATGTATCAAGCTTTCTGTGAGCAGAAAGGAAAGGTGCCTTATATCCCAATGTCACGGCCACGTCCCTGTGGAAAACAGTCAGAAGCACAGTGTGCGCGGAAGTACGGGGACTTCCGTCGGCGAACTCAGACTCCTGTCAGCAAGACAGACGGGAGTGGCGCGGGGCCGCTTTTGTTTCAGAGTTCTCTTTCCCCCCTTTTCCATTTTCCTTTTGTCTTCTTTTGTAGTTTGCTTTAAACAGAAAGCACTTAAATAGATGACTATGTGTAAAAGCTCTGTGCAATAGAAATCATTTTTCTTCATTTTTAAGAGATAATGTATTGCACACCAAATGAACTCAAAGTAAGCTTTAGACCAGGACGATTCAGGTTGTGGATGAGTACGTTCACTGTAGTTCCATGTGTTCATGAACGGAAGGGAAAACAGGCCCCCCGCCCGCCCGCCGGTATGCCTCTGGCTCTGACCGCTGAGCTCGGCCCGCAGCGTGCGTGGCCAGAACCGCGGGGGGGCGGGCGCGGGCCTGTGTGCTCCGCGGCTGAGAGCCTCTGCAGTGTGAGACCACAGCCAGCCCTTCCAGCACTTAACCTTTTCTTGTTGAGATGGATTGACTGCTACTGACCTGCCAGTGTGCATGAGGATAATTATAAAAGGATATTTCCTTGAGAAAAAAAATTATTTCTATCCTCTTCTATTTATTATTAGGTTAATCATTTAAGTACTTATCAGGAGTATATTGTCGTTTTGTGTTGTTTTGTTGTTGTTGTTATAAATGCTTTTTGCTATCACTCCAGTGGTTACTGTCTTCTGCCTCCTGCCCTCCCCATCCCACCCCCCCAAAAAAGAACCGAAGGGCCTGGGGATTTGACTGGGGGCACAGGGGGCTTCTCCAGCAGAATCAGGCATCTGCCTCCAGAGTAGCCGCTCAAAAGCTGGTGGTATCCTCGCGTCTGACTTTTTAAACGAGAGTCGATGAACAAAAATCTACCGGTGTGAGGAAACGCCGAGTTGGAGAACACTCGTGGGAGAAGCTGCAGAGGAGACTCCAGAAAACGCAGTTCCCCCAAAGCCTCCTAGAGCCTCTGTAAGACTTCTGGGTTCATGAAGTTTCCGTGAGCCACGGGCAGAGAGGGCGCAGCAGCCTGGCCCAGGCTGTGACCGCCGAGAGAGAGAGTGGTTTCTTGCCAGGCTCACGTGGGTTGGCGTGTTTTAGTTGGCTGTTGTTGTTGTTGTTGTTGTTGTCGTTTTTCTTGCATACTAATTTGGTCAAAACCATCTTTTAAAGCAACGGTGTTTCTTCATTCGGCTGTGGCTTGAGGACCCACACCAAGGAGTCGAGGGGGGGGCCTCTCCTCCCCTTGAGGTGGCTAAATGCGAGGGAGGTGAGATGTGGACAAAGCTTTCTGAGGCAAGCAGCATAGCCAGCAAGACACCCAGCTGCTGTGCTGGGCCGTGCAGGTGACGTGGGGTTGGTCTGGGGCCTGTGGACTCACCCTCGTGGGCACCAGAGAAGGAAGCCCCCCAGGCCGAGGCAGGGGCCCTTCCTGCCCCAGGCGGAGCCCGGCCCCTGCCTCTGCCTCCTCCCCGGTGGGGCCCGCCGACTCCCGGCTCACTTTCCATGCCATGACTTTTCCCCTTCTCTGAAAACCATTGGAGGCCCTGGGTTTGTTCTCATCTTTCTGAAAGAATGCCCTCCAGTGAAATAACTGCCCTTGTCCCCCCCAAAAGGGTTTGCATTTCTCTCTAATTAGTCTATGCATTTCTCTCTCTCTCTCTCGAGCCGTTTTCTGCCTCTTTCCTTGAGAAAACGGGCATCTCATGTCCCACCATCTGAGACCCCCTCAGAAAATGCTGTGCATTTTGGAGATGTGAGGATTCGTTCAAAATTCGTAAAGCACTTGAGGATAGCTTGTTGTAACAGTGGGAAAAGAAGCGGCGGTTTTCCCGCGCCCCTGTCCACTGAGGAAGACCCAGCTCTTTGCGATTGTGCAATAACTACTTGCCTGCGAGCGGGCAGCCACGCCCCCGTCCAGACTACTAAACACAGCACAAGCCCAGCGCTCTCGGAGCAGCGGACTTCTTCCGGAGAATTCTCAATAAGCTCAGCTCCCCCTGGCGTATCGTGGTGTCTTACATTTTAGCAGTATTTTATATTTTCTGTAACGCACTAAGTCTTAGATGTTTTTAGAGCTCGTTTGTTAATACTCACAATCACAGACTTTTTAAAAAATCCTCAGAGCCCCAATTGACCAAAAAAAAAAAAAAGCTTTTTTTTTTGTACAAATAGCTTTGAGAAGCCTCTGCTGTGACCCATCTCTAGTAACACTTTTATTTCTTGCTATTTGTTTTCAACATCAAGAGTCAGAAGCCGATCCGGCTGGCATGGGGGTGGGGGCGGCGCCGCTCCGCCCCTCGGCGTTGTCCCTTCTGTCCTTGGTTAGCCATACGATGTCCGTTCTCAGCACTGTACAACGGTCCCTATATGATATGGAGAAGCAATATCACTGTATGAAACTCACACCATGTATTATTATTATTCACTAGCACCCTAGGTGTGATAATTGAAGTAAATATCTTTTATACAAACATAAGAATGTGTGGGTCGTTTTTATTTAAAAGGCTCTGGCCTGAGAAGCAGCAAACACTGTTATTCGGGGCCGAAAGGCCCCTCCAGCATTGCCATTCCGAGGCGGCCGTTCCTCCACCTTCGCGTGCTCCCCGCGTGTGCGGCGCCCTGGCAGGCGGCGGCAGACAGCCGGGCCTGGGCAGGGGGCCTGGGGATCGCGGTGCCCGCAGGCCGCTCTGCCCAGTCTCCTGTCCAGACGCACAGTCCCTGCTCACTGTTGTCTCCCTAACTGTGTGGGCACCTTTGTGTCGCTGACTGTCCCGGGTCCACTCCGCCATGCGTGGCACGGGCTGTGGCCGCAGCACGGCGAATGGGCTTGGGCGCCCAGGGCCAGGGCCACGGCCAGCCGCCTCCACCTGCTCTGTGAGGGTCTCTCAGTGCGCCCTTGGCTTGTGATGTGCAGAGGGTGTCTGTGAACGCAGGCCGGTGTGTTCCCACTCCAGAAGGAGGGAACGGTGTCGTGTGGGTTTCTGCCATGGTCTGGCCCCTGAAAGGGGTCTCTCTCACCCTGCTCAGGACTGGGGTGGGAGAGCTCGGAGATTTGGCCGCTGGTGGCCCACAGGCGTGTGACTGGCGTTCCTCGTCTTGAGAGTTGCAGGGTTGGAGAGAGCCGCCATCCTTACTGTTGTGTGACCGGGAGGTGTTCCTTGTGCGTTAGTTTGTAGTTTTTGGTTGTGAAGCTCCCACACGTGACAGGAACGTGAGTTACACGGGACTCAACCCTCCCTCCAGCAGGCAGTCCCAGAGCCTGGGACAGACTCCCACCAGTGCCAGGCCCCCCGAACCGGCAGGCCCAAGTCTCACAGGGTCACCCAAGGGCATGGGTATGTCTAAAGCTGCCCCTTAATTTCTGCCCCTCTCCTACCAAGATGGAAGAAATTAGCATAAAACCACTAGGGCTCCATCAGTTTGACAAACTGAGGTCTAACTCAGCTCACATTCTGCTGCTTTTCTGCTCGCTTGTTTAGGTACACCCCCACTTTTTTAAGATCTACTAGCTAAGTTAAAAAGTAAAATGAAAAAAAAACCCACTTAGCACAGTCCTTTCACCCAGAAATTCTCCCTAAGCGCTTTTAAAGTGAGATTTAATTAAGCAAAGCAGCGGTCGCCTGTAGTTTTGCGAGCCTGACTCTGTTTCTGTAAACTGCCAGCTCCAGGGCAGCCAAGGAAGCCAGATGTCGCCTTGCAGCTGCGAGTGGGCGATGCCCCACGCAGACCCAGCTCGGCCTCCCTGGCAGGCTCCCGCTTGGCCCTGTGGTGAGGTGGGTCTGACCAGGCAATGTGCCGCGTCTGATGCCCTGAGGAAGCAATTGCAGGTACACAGGGCAGGGCCAGGAGATAGAGTCACCCAAGTGAGGGAGCGAGTCGTCTGCCCGCCCTGGTCCTGTCTGTTGCGTTTCAAAGGGCCTCCTCGGGGGGCACCATTGCTTCTTCCTCCGTGGCCCCGGGTGGGGTGGCGGCTCCAGGAGGCACGCAGCCTGCTGCTTTCCGCTTCAGCATGGGGTTGGCTCCTGCAGGGTGGGGGTGTTGGTAGCTGATGGGAAAGTTCGCATTGTGATATTGGGGTGGGGTGGGCGGGGCCCCAGGCTCCTGACCCGAGTCTGGCCCGCCCAGCGCGCCGAGCTGTGTTCATGGAAGTGGGAGGTGCGGCCCCTGCCCGGCCTTGGGCAGGGATTTCACGAGTCTCTGTCTCTTCCGAGAAGCCGGGACTCTCGGAGCGTCAGCAGACAAGGCCTTTCTGGTTTTGGTTTTGGTTTTTCAAGCAAAAGTATTAGTGAACAGGTGAAGCAGAGCTGCTGGTTGGGGGGGCGGGTAGGCGGAGCTCCAGGGAGTTCGGCTGCAGGGCCCCGCCCCACTCCCTGAGGCGCCGGCATCGGGGCCCTTCCTTGGGGTCCAGCGGCATTGGAGTCGGAGTCCCAGCGCCTCTTACCAGCTGGTGACCTTGGGCAAGTCTCAGATGGTGCTCGGGAAATGTTTTCTGAAAGAATGAATGATTTTCGCTTCTTTGAGTCTTCGTTTCCATCCTGTGAACAGGAATATAATAAAGCCAGACTCACGGCGCTGCGGAAACCACTAAGCGGCAGTGTGCGTGAGCTGCTCCGCCACGGCGAGCGCTCCGCACGTGCTCGTCGTGCGCGTCCACGTGGGTGACGCTTCGTCAAGGTCGGTGGCTGCCGCAGCTGCCTCCACTCAAGGTTGTTTCCGCCTCGTGCCAGCGCAGGAGGGGCCTGCACGGGGCCAGGCGTCCCCCAGGTTCGCCAGGGCCCGCAGCCGCCAGCCTCACAGCTCAGGCAGCGGAGTCCCCCACGCCCAGCAGCTCTCTCTTCAGCCCCCTGCTGAAGACTCGAGTCTCAGGATCCTTCGGTGGCTGAGGCTGCCACCCTTGGACTCAGTCACAGACAGGAAGGAAGGTCCCAGCCTGCTCCTGGCCCTTGGGGAGAGGGGGCTGTGCCTTCCACAGAGGCAGTTCCCTCTTAGGGGCCCATCTAGGTTAAGCATCTGTCAAGGCTGAACCCCGCCCCTTCACAGCCACACCCAGAAGCCTCCCATGTCTGAAGAGACCAGATCCTCTGGGACCTTGGTTCCTAACGAGGGGTGACTTTGTCCTCAGCATATTCGGCCATGTCTGGACAGCACATTTGGGCTGTCACAAGTGGACAGGGGTGCTACTGGCATCTCGAGAGTGGCCAGAGACACTGATAAGCACCCTACAATGCACAGAACAGTCCACCCCACACCCACGAAGAATGACCTGGCTGAGGTATCAATAGCGCTGAGGTCAGAGTGACGGAGCTCCCTCGTCCATCTAGTCGGCAGACAGCCGTTGAGAACTGCTCTGTGCCGGGGGCGTGCGCCAGGCCAGGTGCAGAACCCCAGCCTGGGCTGGTCCTCATTGGTATTGTGGGGCATCTGGTCAGCTACTTGGGAAAGGGCAGGACTTCCAGGGAGTGGCCTTGAAAGGGACACAGGCATGTCAGAGGGACTGCAAGTGCTGTGCTGGGGAAGGGTGTGCGGAACCACGTTTGTGATAAGAGCAAAACCAGGAGGGGGCAGCTCCAGGTGAGGCTTGTTCTTTCTGACGTCGGGTGGTGGGACCGGCAGAGGTGGCTGGGCCCTGCCAGGCTGGTGCCTCCCTGCTGGCTGGGACCCGCTCAGCCAGTCAGCCAGCTCACTGTAAGGGCCACCCGTGCGCTGCTCTGGGCCCTGGGGCCACTGCAGGGGACAGACACGGAACTTCCCTTCTAAGGGGAGACAAACGGTTAACATCATAAGAGCCAGTTACACAGTGGCTTTGACCGTGTAAATGTCGTGGGAGAAAGATAAGCTCAGGGGGCCTGCGGGAGCAAGTGGGCAGGTTCAAGTGTTCAGTCAGGTGGTCAGGCTAGGCCTCATGGTGTGGATGTCACCTGAACAGTCTGGCAGAAGCAAGGAATGAACCGTGCAGATCCAAGGGAGGAGCACTCCAGGCAGAGGGAACAGCAAGTACAAAGGCCCTGTGGCACGTATGTGCCAGGAGCCGGTGTAGCTGGAGCAAAGTCACCACAGCCAGACAGACCAGCAGACTGGAAAGACAAGGTGGACACAGAGCTGGTGGGGCCTTGGCGGCCGTGGTGGGGCTTCAGCTGTTGCACAGAGGGATGTGGGGGCCACTGGAGGGTTTGAACAGAGTGTGATCTGATCTTGCTGTTTAAAAGGTTCTCTGGCTGCCGCTGTATGACTCGGTTTTAGGGGTGAGGGTGGGGAAGTGAGGGGTGAGGGGTGGGGTGAGGGGCCAGTGAGGAGGTTGTTGCCATAATCGAGATGAGCGGTTGTGACTTGGACCAGGTGGTGGCAGTGGCGAAAAGTGGTTGGTTCTGGATGTCCTTTGAAGGTAGAGCCAAAAGTAGAACTTGGGACAGATTAAATGCAAGACGTGAGAGACAAGGTGGATACCCCGCAAGGGCTAGGTCTGGGCCCGGGCAGAATGGCCTTGCATTCGGGGGCCCTGCAGTGGTGAAGCAGACCAGCGGGGGAGGACGATATCAAGCTTCAGTTTGTCCCCGTGAAGTTTGAGTGACACATCCCAGTAGAGAGTGAGCCCTGGCAAAGGGGTGTGCTGGAGCTATCCGTTGGAGAGTCATCGGCGTATCAGTGGCACTCGAGGTGGCAGAGTGACTGGGAGGAAAGAGAAACGCGTGCAGGGCAGTGCCTGGGGCAGCAGGGTTCTCAGCTCAGGGGAGGAGAACGGGCGCTGGAAGCTGAGAAGGAGCGGCTGGCAGGGCAGGAGGCCCAGGAGGGCACAGGGACCGGGAAGCGGGCACAGATGGGTCAGCAAGGCTAGGGCTGAGCACACAGGGACGTGTGACCATGGCAAGGGCAGTTGATGTGGTGGCATCTGAGTCTGACGGGGTTTAGAGAAGTGACCACAGAACAGACGACTCCTTCAGGCAGTTTGCTGAAGGGGGCGGTGGAGTCCAGAGGGAGAGTCGGACGGGAGAAGAGCTTGGCTGTGTGCCAGTGGAAAGAAGAGGCTGATGCTGCAGGACGGGGGGCACTTGCTGGGGACCCCCTGCATGAGAGTGAGGGGCTGGCACCTGCGGGCATGAGAAGTGCTCAGGGCTCACCTCCGGTCACCTGCGGGACAGACAGGTGCGGAGGCAGGGGCGGGGTGGATGTGTGGGCAGCTCAGCTCCCCTCGGAGCTGAGAGATGGTGTGAGTCCAGCAGCTCCAGAGCGCCCGCCTGGCTGGCCCACGGCTGATTGAATAACGGCGGAGCCCCCGCCCTCAAGAAAGCTGTGGACACAACGCCCCAGGCCTTGCCGTTGTGATACGTCCAGTCATGATAAGGGTCTGCATTAATCAGTCTGCAGTCAGAAATGGTGCCCTGACCTCAAGTCATAGTCCAGCCTTCTAACTCTTGACCTTGACCTTTCTTTGATGATTCTCCCCTTGTGAAATGCATCCTCTAGGAAACC